AACCCTAAACCCTAAACCCTAAACTCCGAAACCCTAAACCCCAAACCCTAAACCCTAAACCCCCTTAAACCCTAAACTCTAAACCCTAAACCGTAAACCCTAACTACAAAGGGATATTGAAGATGCAACTGGGCCACGTCCATCAAGTTCTTCGCCGCCCTTCGAGGCCAAACGCCTTCCTTTGCTGGTGTGCTTTACGGGCTGAGGATTTAGGGTTTAGGGTTTAGGGTTTAGGGTTTAGGGTTTAGGGCTTAGGATCCTAAACCCTAAACCCCATATTATAACCCTAAACTCTAAACCCTGAACTAGAGTTTAGGATTTAAGGCTTAGGGATTTGGGATTTAAGGTTTAGGATTTCGGATTTAGGATTTAGGGCTTAAGGATTTGGGATTTAAGGGGGAAACCCCCGAAGTGGGTTTAGGGTCAAGCCTTCAGACCCCACCCTCCGCCCCCCAAAGCCGCGACCTTCCAGAGGGTCTACAAACTGTGCCGAAACCCTAACTTTAGGGGTTGAGGGTTTAGGGTTTTTTTTAAAGTTGGGTTCGAGGGTTTAGGGTTTAGGGTTTAGGGACCCTAAACCCCCTAAACCCCAAACCTTAAACCCTAAACCGTAGGACCCTGACCACCCTAAACCCAAAACCTTAAACCACCCAAAGCGAACCATAAGATCCCAGCATGTCTTCTAAACACCTTGAGACATAGACGCGAAAAGGCGACGTCCTGAAAAAAGCCGCCCCACTGATGAAGTCCAACACCTGCCTCAGAAAGCCCAAAGCCTTCAACAATTTGGGTTTCTTTCATGGGTAGTTGTCTAGATTTAGGCCCGTCTAGGGTCCTTCTATAAGGGTGCCCTACTATTTTGAGGGACGCAAACAGAGACCCTAATTTAGAGAACTGCCCTCAGGGAGGATGGATTGAGGGCTTTAGGGCTTTAGGACACAGTGATGCTAGCAGAGACCAAAGGACAAAACTTCGTAATAACCTGGCATTAATGAGAACATTGCACGGGTAAGCAGCAACTCAAATAACTACAAATGCTTGCAATGAAACAGAAGTAGATAATGCTCTTTATGATGGTAAAGCATGCAACACTAGTATGCAGATAAATGCTCATACACATTTCACAACAGAAATTTGAGAATACGCACACAACTTGAATAATGCTTATTACACTAACAGTCGCTAACACAGAAACATGCGCTAATGACTGAACTGACTGCACAGCATTAGATCCTTGTTAAAAAGCCTACATTAACTAGAGATTAGAGTCCTTGCTGTCTCCAATGGCGGCGTTACAGCTTATGCTGTGCTGTCGTGTGCTGTAGGAGATTGTGTTTCAAGTTTTGTGGCGGTCATTTCTGTGATATGCCACCTGCTCAGCCATGACATTCGGACGTCAGAGAGCTGTGGAAGAAGAAGAAGAAGAAGAGATTATGCCACAACAGCAAAGGCAATTTCAATTTTTTCTAACAAGAAATGACATAGACACTAATAGATGGTTGGCAATACAGCACGAATTCCTTATGCTACAATTGCAACATTGGCAACAAATTACCAAACAAACTCACATCTAGCAGCTAATGTACTGTAACGAAGGCAAGGTGGATACACTAAAAGCGGGTGCAGGTGGCGGTGTGTATGCAATCAAAACATACCATGGAGGCACGCTATGTTGAAGCCGGAAGCATGAACATTTTCTGGACCCACAATCGCGCCCTCGAAACCACCAGCCTTGCACGCGTCCCCACACGTACTTGGTGGGACCCGGTGGGTCCGAGCTCTTCTCTACGGTGGGACCCAAATCGGACTCAGTAGGAC